CAGCATCACACAGGCCGCCTTTACTTTCCGGGACTGCATTCAGTACCCACTTAAGGCTGGGTCGACCTGGGAGTCAAGGTCATTTTTTTTAAAGTCCGAGTCCGCAAGGGAGCGAACCCATGACCTTCCGAACCGCACGCGAGCGTCTAGCCGCTACACCAAGGCGACCAGCCAGATAGTAGCATCTAAGTAAGTGGAAACTGTAAATTTGAAGTAACTGATTCAGAAAGGGGGGATATCATAGGTTTGAATTCTCGATAAGGTTGTGAAGTTTGTTTCTGTCAGGGCGAAAATAGAATCCTATCCTAACCTGCACTGTCTATGCTGACAGCACTAGCCATTCAACCCTAAACCATCTGGCTGATAGACATCTCTACTTCCCCCCCCCCCCCCACTCCACACCTTTTTTTTTTAGCGTACACCGTAAAATGTGTAAATATGTACGTGGCATTTTTTTTTCTCTTTTGCTTTAGAAAGGTTAAATAAAGGACCCCTTTTCAACGCCTTTAGACATATAGGGCTAGACATATATTTTATACTCTAATCAGCAAAAGATGGGTGATGTGGTCAGCATCACGCTGGCCGCCTTTACTTCCCTGGACTTCATCCGCTATGCTGGGTAAACCTGGGAGCCAAGGTAATTTTTTTAAAGAAAAAAGTCCAGCTCCTCCAGAGTGCGAACCCACAACCTTCCGATCCACAGCGAGCATCTAGCCGCTGTGCCACAGCAACTCCCTCTGCTTTAGAAAGAGAGGGTTCAAATAAGTCATCTGGGACTAAAAGAGATTGTTTGTTTTAGTATCCAGAAGCCATGAGTTGTTAACCCTTAGGCTCGGAATTATGGATATCGCAACATTTTGGCCTTGATTTCATTGTAAATACCGTAAATCTGGGAGAAAATGTGGCTTTCCTGCCTACCCCCGGGATTGAACCCGGACCACAAGGAGTACGTCACCCGGTCTCCGCGAAATCCGGTTTAGCCAATTCCGCTAGAGAGCCGGGTGACTGAAAGAGATAAACACAGATCCTTGACATGGCAGGTATGAAGGCTCTGATATATAGTAAGTAAAGTAAAGTACAAGAACCTCTTCCACGGCTTCAGGTATACTTTAAAAGTTAGTTGTGTATCCTTTACAGGACGTTGCCGAACCAACACCAGCATTTTTTGGCTGTTGTGATTTTTGTAGGCAAATTTAGATCAAGTAGTTCTCGTTATGCCTAGAGGTTAATGAGGTTTCAGAGAGGACTTTCCTGTCCTGTGCAATCTTCAGTGCAGTTTTCCATGTCAGAGATGCCGCACTCAGGTCACTTTTCATCATTCGTCTCCATGTTGTTTGTGGGCGCCCCTTTTTTCTCTTTCCCTCTGGTATCCATGTGAGAGCGGTTTTGGCAGATATATCAGGATTCATTCTCATAACTAGACCAAGCCATTTCCATCTTCTCTTGGTTATCATACTGTCTTTAGTTTCTTGGTTTGTGACTTGAAGTAGTTTAGTGTTTAAGATTGTAACTGGTCAGGTATATACCTCTGAAAAAAGTATAACGTGGGACAGACAGAACTACAAAAATTAGATTTCTAAGAGCATGTATCTTTCCTATTGCAGCATACGCCTATGAGACCTGGACACTTACTAAAGAAGCTGAAGAGCGCATAAATGCCTTTGAACAAAATGTTATAGACGGGTTCTAAGAATAGCATGGGTAAAGAAAAGAAAAAATGCATCCATACGTCAAGAACTGAATATTGAAGAATGTTGGCTTTTAAAGATGATAAAACACGGAAAATTGAAATATTTTGGTCACTTGAAACGTCACGAGAGTTTAGAGAGAACAATTGTTTGTTTGTTTTAGTATCCAGAAGCCATGAGTTGTTAACCCTTAGGCTCGGTATTATGGATATCGCAACCTTTCGGCCTTGATTCCATTTTAAATACCGTAAATCTGGGGAAAATGTGGCTTTTCTGCCTACCCCCAGGAGTAAACCCGGACCACAAGAAGTTCGTCACCCGCTCACCGCGCAATCCGGTTTAGCCAACTACGCTAGATAGACGGGCGGAGAGTACAATAATGGAGGGGTATTATGCCTGGGAAGAGAGAAAGAGGGAGACCAAAGGGAAGAGATGAAGAAGAAGGCCAAAGGGAAGAGAGAAAGAGAAAGCCCAAAGGGAAGAAAGCAAGAGGAATATGGGTGCAGGATGTTGCGGATGATCTTCAGATGGTTGTATCGGACGCGGGCCAAATTGCTTGTGATCGGGAAGTTTTCCGGAAGGTTGTTATGGGAGCGAGGTTTTGCAAAGGACATGTCTTCTGATTGACTGCCTTCTAGATCTATATTTTATAGACCAGTTGGGGGGAAGGGGGGGGGGGGTGTCAGCATCACGCCGGCACGATATAAAAAATAGCTGACGATGTATAAACTGTTAACAAATGGAAGAACTATCTGGAGTTGAAATTTAATATGTTGTCACAACAGAGACCAATGACGGAACATATCTGATGTCTTTACAGCTCGGGTTGGAAATATCTCCAAGATATTCTTCCATGTCAAAACTGGAGCTCAGCATTTCTCTTTAAATAAAAATAAAATAAAAACAGTAGGAGTGCCCTTTTCTGGGAGGAGCGGCTGACCGAACAGTTAGAAAGCTAGGTTCTCACGCGGGAGACCGGGGTTCGAATACTCGGTAAGGCTGGCGATTTTTTCTGTCGGGGACAAAATATAATCATCACATGCACAGTCTAGGCAACAGCACTAGCCATGCGCCCGTAAATCCTCAGCCCCCCTCCCCCCCCCCCCGGCCTACACCGCAAAAGTCCATGATTCAGCACAAAGGCAGTAACTGGCACTTTTTGGGCCCCTTTTCTGGACAGTCACAATGGCCATATGATGCCGGACTCCTCTTTGTGTAAATTAGTTAAGCACTTAGTTGATGATCTAGCCAGCTTTTTAGCTGACCACCTTTACTTCCCAGGACACTGCCTGGTACAAATTTTAGGCTGGGTCTACCTGGGAGCCAAGGACAATTTTGAAAAACACCAGACTAGATGATGGTTCGAAACCTAAGACATTCAGCCCGTCAGGCTAGCCTTTAATCCCTACGCACTACCTTATTTATAGGCCAAACAGGTCAACGGGGATATACAGAAGGACCTGCTCGCGGTTCCTTGGGTATATGCTGCTAGACTATGAACAGGCGGACAAACTAGCTGGCTCTGCACAACTTGGTGGAAAACTGCTATATGATAAGGCAGACGGGGTTAGTGCCTTGTGGGAGAGCGTGTACAATTCAGAGGAGCAGATGGGTTACCACAGTCTGGGGAGATTGATGCAGTTGGGGGTGACGAGAGGTTCTGGCAGATGTTCGAGGTTCAGGGGAAAGGCAAGACGGACGTTTAATCAAAATGCTACTGGCACCATTAGTATCGGAACTTTTCGCTGACTGCTGAAGATGGGGACAGAGCGCTTATGGTAATGCCTCGAGTGCTGTGATGTCGGTTCTTGAATCAGATCAGATCAGATGCTGCTAGCTTATGGACCTAAATGGTTGGGACATATTGAAAGAATGTCAGATGACAGAGAAGTAAAAACTGTATACACCAGGGAGATGAATGGCCGTAGACCATGAGGCAGACCAATAAGACGATGGAGAGATAATATCCAGACAGACCTGCAAACACGTGGTTTCACCAACTGGAAAGAGAGGGCCAAGCAGAGAGATGAATGCGGGTGATATCTGCAGCATTGATCCTCAAGGGCCCGGAATGCTGAAGAAGAAGTAGAACAGGTACTCGATTGTGATGAGGTCAAGATTGTGCCGGCAGCCACCAGTACTCCCTACGACATTACTTTTCCACCAGTAGTTTGCAGCCATATCCCATCAGTCCGCAAAAGATTGTCTAATCGTGAAGCGGCGATACAGACATGATTCCAGCACTATATCACGACAGTCAGGGAAAGAAATCCAGTTACTAAGCGACATATACCTGAGTCTAGCATTGTGCCACTGCATATTTAGGGAAAGAAATCCAGTTACTAAGCGACATATACCTGAGTCCAGCATTGTGCCACTGCATATTTAGGGAAAGAAATCTTTTTTACTAATCAACTACACATCGTCATTAACGGGTGCCTGCGCAGATTAGAGAGAATTCAATGGTAAGATAGAGTCATTAGTACTGAGCTTTAGGAGAGAACTAAACAAACGTTCACTTTTTGTTTGTGCTTATTATAGTGTCAAGCTCGCTGATTTACTTTTCGTTTAGTTTTATATCATGATTTGTATACCCACACGTTCGGAAACCTGCTTCGCCCATAGAGTTAAACTCGCCCACTAATTTTTTCTCGGCATTCACCTCTGGCATTTAGAAAGCCACGCCCCCATTTTTCACACAATGGCATTGATATAACTCAGCCAGCATGTGATCAAATGAGTTGACAACAAACTAACAGGTACATCTATTCACACTTCACTCCCCTCAAGCCAGTCATCACCACCTGCTAAATAAATAATGAAAGAGAAAAACACACTGGCCTTTATTTAATTATCTGTTTGTAAGATGATGATGGAAGCCCAGCTATAGCTTCTCAAACAGTGGCTCATTCATTACTTCATTCACGGAATCTGGAGTAGCTTTCAGTTTTACTATCACCGGACATAAATTATGATAATATTCAATGAAAGCCTCAACCCGCATGCGCACTGAACCCACTCGTTAATTTTCGTCAATTCTCGTAAAATTATAATTCATTCACTACATTCTTTATTTGCAATTTAGTAATGCAATTACAAATGTAAACAAAATACAAACAATATTTGTTTATTAATTTAATTATTTAATCATTCGAAACATTATTTGTTAGTTGCATTTGTTTTCCCATAAGGCTTTGGTTAGCGCTATGAGCAGCCATTTTCTTACTCTGGACCCGGGGAGCTAGGCGGGCATTTTATTTCCTTAATTACTAACTCCTGTGAAGGAGCTGGCGTTCGTGTCCAACACGAACAATGAGCCAGTACGTTCATGTATCCGAGAATGAAGGCGACGAGCCTATGGAAATACCCACTGAAGAAGACGGGACCCTTTTGTTGACAACTTTATCAGCTCAGTTTCCCGGGGCTTGTGGTCTGAAATATCGTAACCAAGAAACTGGAACGCTGAGAGGGATTAGATTATCTGACGGACGCCTTTACCCCCCTGACGTGGACTGGGGCAGACATGTCTATATCGTTGTGTTTCCAAAAGGTTGGTATCTTATTTAATGCACAACTTTCCAGTTTAAAACGATCTGTTTAACAATTTCCCTCCCCTAAATAGCGCCCCCTGTCTGGTCGAGCCCACTACTTCTGATAGGCTAATGGGAAATCTGAACAAAAAAAACCGTTTATTTTTCTTTTGCAGCGACGTTAGTCGTTACTGACGTATTTTAGTTATGAATACCTTCATTGACAATGATGTCAACATTTTATTAATGGATAAAGTTAAATGGAACGTGGAGAACAATCGTAGAATTATTCTATGTACAAATGTTCTGAGAACGAACTGGGTCATGGACGGGGAGTGACCCAACAACCTACGCCTACTCCACACACAGTTGGTCTTACCAGTGACTGTGTACTGCCGGTTCGATACTTGAACTTAAATAATGGTTTTAATTAATGTGGCTTTAGAACACACCTAACGTTTTACGGCATAAGCAGTGGGGCGAAAAAAGAAGAAAAATGGTTTTTTTTTTTTTTGGGGGGGGGGGGGGGGTGTTCATTCCTAACAACAGTTGTGATTGTAGAGATGATGGCACATAGAGTATTCAGACTCAATACATAACTAACATATCATGATAGTAATATATATGTGTGTGTATATATATATATATATATATATATATATATATATACATACACATACAACTTTGCTTACAATGTATACTTATGATATCTTTGAGTCTTATATGTTACATATCCAACAACCAGCACAACTGAAAACAGCAACCCTAAGGGACGCAATCTATTGTAAGTTACTAATAGTTCAAATGCAGATCTTAAGGGGTGTTATCCATTGTTTGTGTAAGCCCATATGATAACAACATTTAATATTGTTTGAGATTAGGGTTAGTCGTAACCCAAACCTCAACCGTACCCTAAAGCAATATTAAATGTTAAAGAATTTATGAACCTAATGGGTTGGTTGGGGGAAAACATTTGGAAACAAATAGGTGCAAAATACAAAATAATAGTGAGTTATGATTTGGTTTATCTTCACAGCACTCCGGACACGTCTATAGGTGCTCAGATTTCCCCTTCAGCATATGCATCAGTGTCCCGTGGTTGATAGTCCCAGTCATGTGTTGGTTGACAAGACTTCTTATGTCTCCTGTGTGCTTCTCCTGCCTGGCTGTGCCGATCTTTACTTGGAATTCTTGCACTCTTAGCAAAGATATGGAAGTGCTGCTCCTAAATCCTCTGAACGTCCTTACCTACCTCTCTAATGGCATTACCAATGTCGGCATGATCCATGCCGATGTCTGTGTGTGTGTGTATGTATGTATTTTTATATATATATATATGTGTGTACATATACACATACATATATATGTGTGTGTATATATATATAATTTCTTGCATACTTTTTACATTTTCTATTAACTGTTCATTACCAGGGGGTTTAGCTTCATGCCCTGGCTTGGGTTAAACATTTTGAAGTGTCACAAATTGTAAGAAGAGACAGTGTCCACAATCAGACACTATGTCCAGATCTTGATACCCAGGCCTTACAACCCCAAGTTGATCAGTCACAGTTATGATGGTTTGGACATGTATACAGAAGGGGAGAAAATCACCACCATGGGAGGCTAAGAACCAGGCAACCAGACCTCCAGGGTCCGCTGGGAAGACAACATCACACAGTCCTTGACTGACAGAGGACTGGAATGGAACAAAGGCAGAAAGAAAACTGCTGATAGAGAAGTCTGGAGATCTCTCTGGCAAACCTCTACACCCCAAGGTAGAAGAGTAGCCACTAAGTAAGTAAACAAATTGTAACATGAAAACAGACTATGAAATTGGAGCAGCTTTGCAAAAGACCCATTATATTACACCAGCACAGTGAACAGGCTAGGTTCAGGATTAATTTGATATACTGCTACAGCAAATGATTGTGGTAACAAAGATATCAGTAATCCTAAAGCAGACACTGTCCTTGGGGTCTAAAATCTAGGGTTTTCAGACATACTAGGTTATGACATGAGGTGGGGAGTGGTTGGCTTGAGCATGGGGACCTTATCCTTTAGCTGATTTGAGCTGTAAAATGCAGCCAGTCTACCAGAGGGGACATGGTTTGCTGGAGACATAATTTGGTGGAAAAGATATGATTGGGTGGAGGAAACATGATTTAGTGGAGTAGACATGGTAATGGTAGCCACTGTGATTTAGTGGCTAGATGCTACCTTGTGGATCCAAATTTGTGCCTTCGAATCCAGTTTAGGCGGTAATTTTTAATTTTTTTAGGAATGACTTTGGCTCTTAGGTCCAGCCAGCCTTAAGTGGGTACCAGGTAAAGTCTTGGGAAGTAAAGGTGGCTGGCATGATGCTTACCACATCAACCATATCACCTTCTATGCCCAAACGCCTGAAATCGTGGAAAAGGGTGCTTTATTTATAATTTGTAATTCCAGCCTTGGCAGCGCAGTGCTCTGCTGCCCCGAGTAGTTTAGAATCCACATCTTTTATAGAATGACCTGGCTTCCAGGTCAAACCAACCTTGAATTAGGTTATAGGTTATGTCCTAGTTGCAGGTGGATGATGCGACCTTGACCGCATCACCCATCAATGTCGATTTGTCTATAAAGCTGTGGATCTAACTCCTGATGCCCGATGTGGCAGTAGCGGAGAAAAGTTCATTTGTTTTTTTTAATGTGAATTTTATTTTTCAAAATCTGCAATGAAAGTTAGTCACCTTGATGAAAATGTCTGGTTCTGCAGGCGAGAATTCAAAGGAAAATTCAACCCGTGCTTCAGAATCTTCACTGTCTGTCAAATCGTACAGGCGTCTTGACCGTCAGAAATGTAGTGACCTCATTGTGCTAGGTCTTCCTTGGAAAAGCACCGAAGAGGATCTTCGGAAGTACTTCCAGCAGTTTGGAGAGCTTCTGATGGTTCAGGTCTGTCATTTTGTAGTGTTTGTGTTGTTTGAGGAGCTGCAGGCCGAATGGCTAGAATGCTGGGCCCTCATAAGGAAGACCTGGGTTTGAATCCTTGATGGAAGTTTTTTCTGTCAGAAGCAAAAACTAACTTCTGGCACTCTTCTGAATATGTGTCCCAAATTATTCACTGGTAAAATAAATCCCATTCAGGGCCTTGAGAGGTCATATATTTAAAAATATGGAATATGAACACTACGAACTATGCTTTGCGTTATTATATAATTTAATTTGAACCAAACTCTCGAGTCTTCGGTGGTACAGTTGTAAATATTCCGCCTGTCAAGCGGGTGACTGGTGTTCATTTCCTTGCAAGGTGATAATTTTTTTATATCTCTTAAAAAGGCAGTTGGCACTTTGTGTTGTGGTTTACAGCTAGGCTGCGATATCCGCGCTTTTTGCCCCAAAACATCCGATTTCCGCAATGTCCTAATTAGTCGCCTTTTACAACATACTTTTTAGGTGGCAGTAGATCTATTCTTTTTTTTCGTCAGGGATGATTATTATGGCCTGGAGAGAATGAGGAACATGGGTGTAACCAGAGGGTCTGTATTGGAACTCTGCACTGGCTGCTGAAGTTGAGGACTGAGCACACATGGGAATGCCCCAAGTGCTGTGATGTCAGTTCTTGACTCAACTAAACTCTAGAATGGACTTTTGTGTGGCCCATGTGTATTGGCTGGCCAGAACAAAGGCGGCTGTGTGGCACGTTGGTTAACTTTATGTGTGTTGACCAGCGTGGAGTTGTGATGTGGAGGTATCGGAGGCTGATTAAACCGGATATTAGTCAGTGATGCTTCAGTGAGTGGCTGGGGTAGCAGAGAGGTCTGGAGTCTTTCACCAAGTGGTGCATCTACCTTGAGTCTTTGGATGATTGGGCTTTTTAGGCAGAACTGTCAGAGGATTGTCACCGCTCATCACATGGGTGTTTCTGCGCGATCCCACTGCCCCTACCCCTAACAAGCGTGTCTCAAGAGGCAACTAATTAGATATGTTTCCTTTGAAGTCGGAGTGAAACTCCCTGAGAGGCGAGGAATCAGCAGTCTGCATACAGATAAGCTAGATCTGTAAAATGGATATGCATGCAAAACCCACGTTAGAAAACAAGACTAAAAGTCCAGAAGTAGATGAACAGCAAGAAATTTCTGTCGGAGTTTACAGCTGGTGAACTCTCTCTCTCTCTCTCCGCCCCCCCCCCCCAATTACTCCCATTTAATGTTCATCAATTTTCTGAGGTATTTGTTTGCAACAGATTTTCCTTCCCTCCCTCCACAGGTTAAAAAGGATCCCAAATCTGGACAGTCAAAAGGATTTGGCTTTGTGAGGTTTGCTGATTACGAGTCCCAGTTGAAATGTATGGCACAGAGACACATGATTGATGGCAGGTGGTGCGATGTACGGATACCAAACTCAAAGGTTTGTTGGCTGTGCATTTTATGCCATCTGTCAAACTGGTTTTATAATCTTCAGGTTTTGTACCCTGTTGGGGCTCTGTATATGAAAGGAATCTCCAAATGTCTTAATATTGGAGTTCTTTCTTTTTCTACATCCCCCATTCAGCCCTCTCGCCCAGAGAAGACTAAATCTAGTCACATCCGGTTGTGACAGTTTATGTTTATTAAAGGGATCAACATCATGGCACGGGGGTGTAACCCGTAAGTGCTCTATTCTGCTTTCAACTCGATTTTAGTCTGAAGGGTCTCAGCGCAGTGCGCAAACTCTGTTGCGAGGATCCTGAAATACTTTGGGTAGATTTTTAACTCAAATTTTGCCTGGGCAGCGCCGTTAGGCTACTCTTTTTCAATTTTCAACTGCCAAGGTATTTTTTTTTTCACGCGGGCGTCTGGTCCAGAGAAAAGTGGAAATTACTAAAAGTTTATGTGAAAAATTCCAGCCTTCACTGGGGTTTGAACCCTAGGCTCCGGCCTGTAAATGCTGATATATGACCACGTCTGCAGTGACCTGTTCTAAAAAAAAAGTGTTGTTATTTTTCATTGGTCATGTGTGCACCTACACAATGTTTAAATATGCCAGGATATGAATATAGTAAGTAAAAATAGCATTTAGGGAGGTTTTCTGATGACCCCAGCGTTTTTTTTTTTTTTTTTTAATGGTTTGTTTTTTGAAAGCCAATTTGTTAAATATTTTCCCACAAGTCTTAGTGATTGAGGTCGTGAAATTGGATACCTTGTTTTTTTAACATGTGGGCTGCAGATTTAAAAAGGGTTGAGTAACACTGATATACATAGACAGAAAGAATTCAAATAATATAGAATGTATAAACATATTTTTTACGTTGGGTTTGTAAGTGTCTTAGGGTAAGGGGAGGCACGGCTTACTTACATATTTTCTCATCTCCTGTCTAGAAATTGGTTGGGTGGGTGGGTGGGAGAGGGGGGGGGGAACACCTTGGTACTTGAACTCCCAGGTTTCAGTCAGTGCCCCTAGTTGGAGGCAGTCATCGTGTTTTCACCACTTTATAAGATGATGAATATTGGAACGTTTATCAGCCTCCTGTCTCAGGAGCTGTGGTATTTTGGCCATGTAAAACAATATGGTGGCCTGGAGAGAATGGTGATGGGGGGTTTCCGGGAAATGGTGCAGAGGTAGTCCTCTGCGAAGGTGGATACAGGTCACTGAAAATGCATTGGAAATGAAAGCACACAGGGCTGAAGAATTGACTGGATAAAGATAGACTTTCAGTCGTACTGTGATGAAAGCAGTGTTTCTTAAAGGACCTATTGATTTATGAGGTAACAAATTAATAGTCATAGTTGCTGTTTGTGTTAATTGACTGCTTTCTTCTTGTATTTACTTAAAGATACTGATTTCTTCACAGGAGGGTGCACAACAAATGATGAACCGCAAAGTGTTTGTGGGGAGGTGCACTGAGGACATGACAGCAGACGACTTGCGAAATTACTTTAGCAAATACGGGGAAGTGGTTGACGTGTTTATACCGAAGCCCTTTCGAGCTTTCGCCTTTGTTAGTTTTGCTGATGCTGAGACTGCACAATCACTGTGTGGAGAGGACCACATTATCAAAGGAGCCAGTGTACATATAAGTGGAGCGGCACCGAAAGCTAATGAAAAGTCAGTAGACATTTTTAAATGTACATTATTTTTTATGTGAACTTTCACCTTCAATCTGTCACTTTGGTGGAATATAGTTTGAGTTGAGAACTGCCATCACAGCACTAGGAAAATTTCATAATCCCCCCCCCCCCCCTCCCCCCATCTTTCAGCGGTTAGCAGTGGTATTTTGGGGATCTTTCTATAGCATTTCAGCTCAAAAGCTCCTATTTTCTTTCTTAAGATAAGACTGGGAGATAGTCCATGACCCATGTCGCTACAGGAAGATGCATGTTCACAAAATGTAAATCTTCATTTCCTTGCTTGTACTTAACCATAGACTTTTTTTCTGTTTATGCGACAAATATTTTCCCAAAAATTGTTTCAGTTTAAAATTAGGAGTCGTCTTATGCATATAATATGTTTCAAATATTTATTTCTTAATTCTGGGCTCTTCTTCTTCATTGTTTTCACCGGCTGTTTTCTCCGACTGAAAGTTCTGGTTGTTTGTCCAGTTTCAGAACCTGAGTGTTGCGTGTGCATCCGTTTGACATATCTGACTCATTTGTATTCAGACTGTTGGTTTCTTTGTCTCTCAGACAGACTTGGAAGGAAGTTCCCAATTAGTCGACTCTTACAGCATGCTTTTGGGTATTCAGTAGGTCTATTCTTTTTTCCCTAAAATAGAGCCCCGGAACCCACACAGGGCTAAAAAATAAGGGTCGTTTAACATATGGGGTCTTGTATATGAAAAATATGGCAGTATACTCTGAACCATCAGTGTGTTGTGAGTTTATGCATTGACTTATTATTGTGAAGGGAAACAGGATAGCACTGTGGCTTGGCACTGGCCTGTCAGCCCAAAAGTCTTAGATTCAAAACCATACCTTACCGTGTGGTGTTCTGGGGCCCTAGTGTGGGGGGGGGGGGGGGGGATTGACCCACTGCCCCCTTAACATATGTGTCATAAAAATAGACTAGTTAGCGTTGTCTCCAAAGTTGGCATGCATCTACCTGAAAGGGGAGGAATTAACAGTCCTCATACACATCAGCCAGATCTGTAAAACGGATGTGCAAGCAACACTGAAATTTTGGAACAAGACCAAAGTCAGGGAGTGGATGAACAACCAGAGCTTTCCAGCCGGTGAACACTAAGAGGAAAAAGAAATACACACAGGGGCTGATTTAAAAAAAAAATATACTTTAACTAAATAGATGTCTATGAAAGGAAAATGGCTGCATCACCCATAGAGTGCCAATTGGTCTGTAAAATGAATCTGGCATCAATATGGCCAGTGCACCTCTAGTGTGAAAAGGGTCTTTTGACCTTTTGTTTCCCCACTTGTGATCACTGACCTTTCACTGTGGAAGTTACTGTCAGCGCAGCACTTATCACAGGGTGGAGACCAGGGCTGTTCAGGGGCCAACATTTTGGAAATGGGGATCGTCACAGGCCAAAGACAAAGAAGGATCACATCTACAATACAATTGGTAGTGATTTGCAGGCAACCTGCTAGGCCCTCGCGGGCCGTCAGTTGAATAGTCCTGATGTAGACACACCAGATGGGGATTTTAGAAAAGGAAAAAACACACACAAAAGGCAGGAAAGATAAGTGGGGGTCACCTTTCATTTACAATAAGACAGTTGTGTGCTGTGTTCACAAGGAAGGTTGGCTACAGTATACCGCTGCTGTCTTTAGAAAGATTGGGTGGTGCTGAGGCCCCCTCCCCCCCAGTCTCTTCTACAGAGCGACTCTCATACAACTGCTTGTTTCTTTCTAACCCATAGTGGAGCATAGACCCCTCAACCAACTCACGCATGCAGCTCTCCCCTTGTTTTGCCCAGAACTGATTTGACATCAGAGTAAACAATTTTACGTTCAGTATTAGTTCAAATTTCTTTTAAACCCTACAAATTCCCAAATGCTATGAAAGCTCCTCTTGCCTTGTGAATTTTAATATCTCTGTCAGTTCCCTTGTCTTTGATTTATTAAAAACGTTATGTTTTCTGGACTGTAGTATGATTCTCAATCTCTTCCACAGTAGGACTCTCATACTACAGTCCAGAAAAGAGTTAAAAAAAATTATCTGCAATGAAAATTGAACACTAGTACTCAGAGATCATGAAATTGATAAATGTTTTCACTAAGCTTTAAGCTGCAGAGTCAGCAGTAAAACAATGCAAAACACAACTTGGGGTATTGAAGCAGTAGTAGTTGTTGTTCAGAGCCTTTGAACTGAAATGCTTCGGAAAATTCTTAGAATACGGTGGACCAAGAAGTTGAAAAATGTTGACGTCCTGTATGACCTGAGCATCAAGGGTAGTTGGCTCATAAACATCATCCTCTTCCGAAATGTGAGGACATGCCATGGTGATGTGGAGAGAACGGTGATGGTGATGCAGTTTGTGGAAAACGAGGCAGAGGATGACCTCAGGGAAGGTGGATACAGGACATTGGAGATGCATTGGCTATGAAAGCACACAGGGCTGGAGAATTTGCTAAAGAGAAAAAACAGACTTTCAGGCGTGTCGTGAAGAGTTAAGGACTCGCTGATTTATTGAGTTGTTCCATGAGCTTTCATTGTGTATTGTTAGTAAAGTTTTCATGTTTGTTTTGTAGGTTTGATAGGCGGATGGTACCAAACCATGGCCACGTGGCTTACCAAGGGTCTTGGGGTCCTGGACGGGGCGGAAACCCGAACCCAGCCAACACTAACATGGGAATGAATGCCAGCATGGGCAGCAACATGGGTATTGGCAACCTGGGACTGAATGCTCTACAGGTAATTTTACCACAGGTGTATCTAGTTGTGCTGTGTGTTTGGTTCTGTTACTGTTTCCAGTTTATATTTCCCTGAGTAAGTTCCAGGGCCTCTTTTCGGTAGGGGAAAAAGGGTGGGGGTGGGGGAGATAGACCCACTGCCTCCCTAACAACCATGTCTTAAGAGTAAACTAATTAGGGGTTTTCTTTGAAGTCGGAGTGCATCTGCCTGAAAGGAAATGAACCAGCAGTCTGCATTCAAAATACCCAGATCTGTAAAACGGATGTGCATGCAAAACTCTGGAATAAGACTAAATTCAGAAGTGGCCAAACAACCAGAACTTTTGGTCAGAGTTTACAACTGGTGAAGAAGACAAAGTTCATATTTAGTGAAAGTGTTTTTGAGCTAAGCTTTCCAAGTTTGCTGATTAAGACAAAGTTGGTGATTGATCATCTTGATTTTGTGGTTTATTGTTACTGGTGAGTCGTCTAGATTTGATGGTTTAGACAAAGGTACTGCTGGATCATCTAGACGTGATTTCTTAGACAAATTTGCTCCTGGATCGTCTAGACTTGATGGCTTAGACAAAGCTACTGGCGGGTCATCTAGACTTGATGGCTTAGACAAAGTTACTGGCGGGTCATCTAAATGGCTTAGACAACATTACTGGTGGGTCATCTAGACTTGATGGCTTAGTCAAAGTTACTGGTGGGTCATGTAGATTGATTGATTAGACAAAGTTACTGATAGGTCATCTGCATTTGATGACAGACAAAGCTACTTGTAGGTCACCTAGATTTGATTGCTAAGTCAAAGTTACTGGTGGGTCTTCTGTATTTGATGGCTTAGACAAAGTAACTGTTAGTTCATCCAGATCAAATGGCTTCTACAAAGTTACTGGTTGGTCATCTGGATCTGATGGCTTAGACAAAGTTACTGGTGGGTCATCTGGATCTGATAGCTTAGACAAACTTACTGCTGGGTCGTCTGTTTGGTCTCAGTTTAATTTCTTTTTCTTTTTCTCTGTGGGTTTTAGGTGCAATGACATTCTTAGTTACATTGTAATAGATTTTCTCAGTGTGTCCAGTCCAGCGCCGCATCTTTTCCTCACCTCTTGATTTCCTCTGGCGTAGTGTAGATTTTACTGAGATCCCTGGGGATTGTCGCTGGGGTTACAGTGTGCATGCTTTGTTTGCCACTCTCAGCAGGCCGTTTTTGCAGAGAGTGACCGAGCTATATGGGGTAGACTATAGATATAAAGTAGAACCCTGTTTAAAAAAAAATATTTTGATTCTCTTCCAGAAATATTGCTTGTCTTGTCTTGTCCACAATTGCCTCACAGCGTAGTGGGTAGTCGCAGTTTTCTATCCTGGGCCAGGTGTGTTGCATGTGTTGTTGTTAGTCCGTGTTGCCTTAGGATCTCTGATATATTGTCTATCCATCTTACTCTCGGTCTGCCTCTTGCTCTAGGGCAGTAGTGTTGTTCGTTGTATTCTCGTAGAGGCAGTTGGTCGGTTTGCATTCGCATCAAGTGGCCAAACCACTCTATTTGTTGCTTCTTTATGTATTGCAGGCATGGTGTGGTTCCTACAATTGATCTAATGTTCTCGTTTCGAACTCTGTCTCTCCTTGTGACATTGGCAGCCTTACGTAAGCATCTCATTTCGCACGTCGTGATCTTTTTCTCCTGTGCTCTTGTTAGGGACCAGGTTTGGCATTGGTAGCAGAGGGTTGGTAAAAATTTGCAATTTATCAGTTGTCGTTTTAGTGCCATAGTGATGCTTTTTGTGTTTATTTTTAATTTGTGTTTATTAAAAGTTTTGTACTTTTGCAGCTCAACCATGCTATGCTAGCTGCCGCCCAGGCTGTTCTCAGTAGCCAGACTGGCTGGGGCCCCCTGGGGCTGACACATCAGAGTGGAAACCCCACCACCAACGGGGACCCCCTGGTTGTGGCCACCACAACCCAGGCCGCCCCTCACACCATCAGCACCTCCTATGCTCCAGCACCTATGGCCACCTCAAACGGTGCGGTGGGCACTGCCGGCGGAGGGGCCAGCAACAGCTTTCTTGGTTGGGGTAGCCAGACAGCGGAGATGCCTCCGGTGCCGCACACTGTAGCCACCAGCCAACAAGTCCCCAACTGGGGCAGCATGCCGGCCAAGGCAGGCTCTGGGTGGAATTGACAAATGGAGGGTGGCGCAGTATCTAGTATTTAGCCGTGTGACTGGAGGTCATTTGTACTGTGCTGAGTCGTCATTGTGAACAGAATGCTTTTTTGTACTTGTTTGGTGAAGCTGCAAAGTTTTTTTTTGTTTTTTTTTACAGTTGTAAATCTTCAAGCAATGTATTTTTGCAAACAACGTTGTTTTGGTTTGAAAGAAATGATACTTTTACTTTCTCAAGTTGAACTCCGCAAGGTAAAATAGAAGAAAGCGTGTCACTAATCACAAAATACTATGGCAGCATTTATAATGACACTGCATGTGTTGCTCTGGCTGAGCTTGCAGCATTGATTTTATTGTGGAAACTAGTAATTGTCAGATGTGGGGACACAAAGGAAACATGGATCCTTTTTTTTAAGGGTTGGTGGGGGTGGGGGGGGGGGGTGTAAGCCTTGTTTAAACGCACAGTAAAAAATTGCTGTCATCTCATTGATACCAGGCTGTAGCTCAGTGCCATGGTTTTCTGGAGTTGTCTTGCACTTCTCAGGTTGCTTGGGTTGTGGAATTATTGATCTTTTTACAGGTTTCAGCTACGGTATTTATCCATCTCTTTCTTGGTCTTCCCGTGGCCTTACTCTCAGATGTTCTACTGTATAGTCTTGCTGCAATCCCACTAGATGGCCGTACCACTTCACCTCTTGTCACTAAAACTCAAATACGGTCTTATATCCAATTTCTCTCTAATGCTGGTATTCGTAACCCTGTCCTTTCTTGTGTTGTTGATGACCTTACGGAGACAGCATAGATTTTTTCTATTCTTGTGCCCTGTTCATTGTCCATGTTTGGCACTGGGATGAAGATACTATTAACCATTTGCTGTTTAGCTGAAAAAGAGTCATTTAGGTGTCTAAGCAGTGGGGAGAACTGGTAGGTGGCCGCATTTGTCCTCTCTACTCTGTCCCTCTGTCAATAGTAATTCTTCTTCTGCCTTTCTATCCCCCCTATGGAGCATAGGCCCTCAACCAACTCACGCCAAGTCGTTCTATCCTTCGCTATTACATGGAGCTCTCCCCATCTTTCTAACTTCATTCTTCAATAGTAATTACTATTATTGTTTTACACTGATTGGCAAATAAATATAGTATATTTGAATAACAATGAATTGTGTAAACAAATACTTAGGAGAACATCTGTACACAGTTGGTGGGAAAACTCTCTCAAATTTTCTAGAATTGGTGGTAGCTTAGCTTTTCTAAAGAAATTGGGTGAGGGGTCCGACTCCCCTTGTTTGGGTCCCAAAAATGGTATACATTTATTGCTGATAAGAATTGATATTAAAAAAGAGTTATAATCTGCAGGTTTCTGTTAATTTTGTCACTCTTTTATTTAACATTTCTTTTTAATGGAACATCTCTGCAGTAATATATCTGTTTAATTCTGTATTACAACAGATAAATGTGCCTAGAATATTTCAGTTCATGGGTGGTTAGAATAATCAAACTAGTGGCACCAGTTGAGCTACTGGAATCACATGGAATTTTGTTGATGTTGAAGGTTTGATTCTCTCATACTCAAGGTTTAGATTCTCTTACACTCGAGGTTTAGATTCTCTCACACTCAAGGTTTAGATTCTCTCACACTCAAGGTTTAGATTCTCTCACACTCAAGGTTTAGATTCTCTCACACTCAAGGTTTAGATTCTCTCACACTCAAGGTTTAGATTCTCTCACACTCACGGTTTAGATTCTCTCACACTCACGGTTTAGATTCTCTCACTGATGGTTTAAATTCTCATCCTGAAGGTTTAGATTCTTTTACTCTGAAGGTTTAGATTCTTTTACTCTGAAGGTTTAGATGCTCTTACTTTTAAAGTTCATATTCTTTTACTTCAAAAGTTTACATACTCTTCCCTGAAAATTAAATTTGTCTTGCTGTTGCTAATGTGGAAGTGTGTTGATACAGTGGCTAAAGCGGAATTGTAAAATGTTGCCATTTTTGACATGGAATTGTGTGTGGATAAGGGGCTGTTGAGTTCGAAACATGCAGATATCATGGAACGTGTACAACGTTGCAGTTTCTGACATGGAATCCTGTTGTTAAAATGGCTAAAATGGAAACTTGTATTGTTTTATTTAAAACACAATCTCGGTGCTGTACAATGTTTCTTGTTTATGTACATTTTAACATGTGTTCCATGAACACATGGCTTTTATCTCAATTGAGGTAGCTGCATGCTGTGTGAGATAACTGGATGTTAAAGTGAGATAACTGGATGTTGAGTGAGGATTACTATATGTTAAGATGTTCTGATGCTCTGGAAAGGCAGTTATCCATAATTTTATTGCCAGTGAGTTGTTTGGATGCTGAGGTGGTTTGGTCATCTATGATGCAATTCCAGTTTAGATGATTAGATAGATGCTGACATATCTTATGTGAAGGGCGGTAAGGTATTCAGACTTTTAGTGCGATTTTTGCTGGTTAATGCTGAGATCTTATATCTCCTAGGTTTTGTTTTTTTGTTTTGTAAATGAGGTGGATAACAAAGTGAAGTCATCTGTAGTTTACTTGCGAGGTGAATTGTGTACATAATTTCTAATGTGAAGTCATCCATTATTCTGTTGTGAGGTGGTTGTTGGTGCAAGAAATTATGAAATGAAGTCATTGATAGTTTAATTGTGAGGTGGATAATGATGTTGTGAAGTCAGCAATAGTTGTGAGGCGGATAATATACAGACTTTCTTATATGAAGTCAGTCAAAGTTCTGTTTTTGAGGTAGTGGATGTTTGAAATTCTGACATGATGTCACATCTAGTTTTATTAAAAGTAAGGCTGGTAAGTTTGCAAAATTGTTAAAAGTCATCCATAGTTCTGTTGTGAGCTGATTGGAGTGAGATGTTCTGATATGAAGTTGTTTATAGTTCTCTTGTGGGGTGGTTAGTGTGAGAAGTTTTTATATTAAATCAGCCATGATTCTGTTGTGAGGTGGTTAATGCGAGAAGTCTTGATATGAAATCATCCATAGTTCTATTGCGATGTGGATAATGCAAGAAGATCTGATGTGAAATCATCCGTAATTCTACTCTGGGGTGGTTGGGGTGAGAAGTTCTGATGAAAAATCACCCATAGTTCTGTTATGAGGTGGATAACATAATGCGAGAACAGCTGATGTGAAATTATCCATAGTTCTACTGTGGGGGTGGTTGGTGTGAAAAGTTCTGATGCAGAGTCATCTGTGGACCTGTTGTGCATGAGTTGGTTTGGGGCTGGAGTGCTGCTCTGATGTTGTGAAAGGTTGTCAGCTGTTTATTGAGACTATTGGAAAACCTTGACTATTTTCTTGATTACACAAACACAGGACTGAAGTCCATGTTTTCAGCAGTTGTCTACATACTATACATACAAAAGTTTGCAATAAAAATAAACAGATGTGAGTCAGGAAAAAGAGTAAATGCAGTCTACCGCAGAACAGATGGACACACATTTTAATTAAATTTGTAATAGTCAGTTTTATACAGGTATTCAAATTTTTTTTTTTTTTTTTTTTTTTTAATAACCAGAAACCATGAGTACTTTGGATATCGCTTCCCTTCGGCCTTGATTCCATGATAGATACCGTAAATCTGGGAGGAATGTGACTTTTCTGCCAACCCCGGGCATGAACCCGGACCACAAGGAGTTTGTCACCTGGTCGCTGTGCAGTCCGGTTAATCCAACTGCGCTAGGGAGCCAGGCAATACAGATATGAACAGATGAATACAAGTTACTTTTCTTCTCTTCTTGCCCTATTTTCCAAGTAAAGAAGGACCTCCACCAGCGCGTGCCAAGTCATCCTATCTTTATATAGCACATGCGGTTCACCCGGTGTCGGGGCTGTTCAACTGGTGGCCCGCGGCCTGAATCCTTCCCCCCAGAGGTCTAGACAGTAAGCCTTCAGATCTTTGCCAGTTAAGAACTGACCAGTGTCCGGTGGGGTTGCTGTACTGTCCTTGCTCCACTGACCTGTCCTTGTTTGACTGACCTGTCCTGTCTTTGCTTGACCATCCTGCCAGTTAACATCAGTGCTTGCGCTCATGTAACAATATCTTTTGAAAGAACATCACACTAAACAATTTTTGTTACAATGATCTAACTTAGAACAAATGTCCATAGTTGACTTGTGTTCAAGTGTGTATACATATTTTGGTTGCTACCTGTGTCTGTACTTACTGCAGTCGGTAGTGATGGCAGAAGGTGTTTATGTTTGGTTGCTACCTGTGTATATACTTACTGCAGTTGGTAGTGATGGCAGAAGAAATGTTTGCCTAACCATGTACAACACTGTAGACCAATAAACAGACTGGCAGTTAGTGCATTTCTCAGGCGTAGATTTTCATAAATTATAAATTTTAGGGTGGTTGTTGTTTTATAGCTACTGAATTTTTATTCAGCATAACTGTTTTAGTTAGTAGTAGTCACAGATAATCCATTTAGAAGCTGTTTAGTTCATAGTTGTACCTCCTGTTGTGTTTCTAGCACTGTCTTGCAAAAATTTATGTAGCTATGTTAGTTACATTGCAGGGCACTTCCGATAAATATGGCGGATAGGCAGGATTACTGTTTTTAGTTGTGACCGTTCTTTGCTTCTGAAGTCCCTGCCTAAATTAATATTTATTATCTAAACTAACAACTTAAGACAGCGTAAGACCTAATTTAGATTGGAGGTCATTATTTTACTAGTTCAATGTTCCTAGGTTTAAAAATATCCAGATGGAACTTATCTGAAAAATGTTTATTGATTGTGTGTGTGTGTGTGTGTTTTTTTTTTTAATCTTGTGCTTGCTTTTCTGTACGGTTGCCAATATGTTTGTAATACTGTATATTATTAGACCTGCATGAAACACAGTGTATCAGTTTTTTTTTTTTTCAATAATGTGTTTTGGAGATTTCCTTTTTAGCTAATCTTGTATTTTGTGGTCTGTATAAATTTGATTGAGCTGTTTTGTGTATTGAGATGCTTTATATGGGTCAGTTGGCGTGATGTT